GCAAAATATGTTATCATTTTTTACTACAATTAAAGTTTTTTTTTTTATTACAATTAATTTTTTTACGTTAGTATTACATGAAAAACAAAATAAACGTTTGTTTCTAAGATGAATTTATGATTATATGAAAGCATTTGGGTTTTTATTCCTAAAAACTTCTTAATGCAGATATTTTTTAACATTTAAAATTATTTTACCTACTGGCAGGCCTAGAGTGTAGTGGGAGGTAAGTTTGGTGTGGGTATTTGGGTGAATTAATATAACCAATTTATATAACGAATTCATATAACGAAGTAACATAAAAAAAATACTTGTACCATTTTCCTCTCATTCTACTTATGCTATTTTTTACCAAAATTCATTTCGTGGTTAAACAACACATTTACTTTGAGATTTACACTATCACTGTTCGGAGATTTCTTTTTCAAAGTGCTTATATTGTTAATGCAGTAATATTTTCTCCTAAAAATCCTAATATTGATTTATGAAAAAACATTATTTCTAATTCCACTACATTCACTTACGCACAAATTCCAATCTCCTACCTCCTGCTATGGGTTAAATAGCAATGAAAAGTGGGCTCTCTAGCAGTATTTAGAAATCAATCTAGAAGGACCACCCTCAATTCAAATCCTAGCGAGATATCTTAAAGATGTCTATAGGTTTCGACCAGTGAATAAGAGTTGTGTAATGGATTGTACAACAGTTTCATTTTCATTATGGCTTACCGCCATATCACGCTGAAAAACTCGTTCTCGCAGGATCACTGAAGTTAAGCAACTTCGATCCTGGTCAATACTTATAGGAGGGCATTATTTATTTATTTATAATTATTATTAAATTTTTTTTAATCATATTTTGTTGTTATTTTCATTATTTTTGTCCACAATCAAATCAAAATAAACCGCTTATATTTTGTAAAGGTTGTCTAGTTTTGGAATAGATGGTAAATTCAATGAAATGCTACGTGGGCCGCTAGTTTTACTTGAGTAGAGAGGGCTCCAGACTATCTGGATCTACAATTTAGATTCGGACCTGAATTTTTCCCCTTCTACCGAAGAAAATAAAAATAAACAGAAATCATTTTGATATCTTCCAATAATATCAGAAAACAATAAATTTCTGAAAAGTTGTAAGTAATTATATTATGAATATTACTACAAAGATGTCGGTAAGTTGTTTTGGGTTATTTCCCATAATGCAACATTAGAAATTCCGGCCGTCAGTCGACAACTGAGAACGGAAATCGTGCCAGCAAAGTTAAGTGTCGAATAAGTCAATGAGTCGGCAGAATGGCCGAAAGAGGGGGTTCAGCAATGGACTGCTGGCACCCCTAACAATAATTCATGGACTACACAATGCGTAAAAGGGTAGCCTTCACCCCAACCCCACTCAGGTTTTGCTTACCAATATCATATTTTCCTTTCATCACCCAAACATTTTTCTTTCCTCTCTTTACATCATTCCGTCCGTTTATATCTTTCTCTATTTCTCTTTTTCATATCGTTTTTGCTCTGTCAACCTCTTCTCACTGTTCTACCACTCCTACACTATTCTCTCTCTCTTTCTCTCTCTTTCTCTCTCTCTCTATCTATCTATCTATCTCTTTCTCACTCACACACACGCTCTCTCTCTCTCTCTCTCTCTCTCTCTCTCTCTCTCTCTCTCTGAAGAAATTGAAATTAACTAGAATATCGCTGGTGTTTCACTAAATCGATTTTTAATTCTTTATCCCCCCACACACACTCTTGCCCAATTGTTCTCTCATCTTTCTTCTCTTTTCTTCTCCCCACTTCCTTTAATTTCTATAAGTTTGTTTTTTTGTTTTTTCGATATGATAATTTTAAAAACCTTTCTTCCAAATACCGATTCTTAATTACAATTATTCTTTCCTGATTGACATCAAATATTTATCGATCTTAATTTTTTCTACCTCTTCTTTTAATCAATAATTTCCAATATCAGTTCGTCTTTCTCGTCATCTGTTTTATCCAAAAGCTTCGTCACTGAAATATGCTTCATTTATCATATTTCATCAATTTATACCTTTTATTTCTTTCGTTCGTCCTTTCTTTCTTTTTTCTTTTCTTTCTTTCTTTTTCTTAGTTTTCTCTTTCTTTTTTCTTTCTTTTTCTTAATTTTCTTGCTTTATTTTTTCTTTGGTTCTTTTTCTTAATTCTCCCGCCTTCTTCTTTACTTATTTCTTTTTCTTAATACTTTTACTTTTTTCTTTCTATCTTTTTCTTAATTTTTTCTCTTTTTCTTTCTTTTTTTAATTTTATCGCTTTCTTTTTTCTTTCTTTCTATTTTCTTATTTTTCTCACTTTCTTTTTTTTCTTAATTTTATCTCTTTCTTTTTATTTTTTATTTTTCTTAATTTTCTAACTTTTTCCTTTCTTTTTCTCAATATTTTCTCTTTCTTTTTATTTCATTTTCTCAATTTCCTCGCATTCTTCTTTCTTTCTATCTTTCTTCTTATTTTTCTAATTTTCTTTTTCTT